TCATTTTCTAGCTATTTATATAACTAATTCTATATCTCAAACCCTTTAATTTCCCTTAAAATTTCAATTATAATATCCGAACTAACTTTAATTAATCTTTCGAAATATATAATTCTATAATAAAACACCTGCCCAAATATAGCCCGAGATCCTAAAAAGTACTTCTATAGGTTTACTATTGAGTTCTATAATTAGTACTATACTTATAGACCTAATAGTACCGAATCTGGTCTATAAGCCTCTATTTCTATTACTTATTTTACTACTCCTATATAACCTGGCATTAGCTAGCTTCCTATAATATCCGGTAGTATTTTAGCTTCTTTTTTTTTTCTTGGCTAGCCTATTTCTAGTATCTATATCTCTTAATATCTGTCCTCCGGATCTACTTTAATAAGTAGCCCTTAGTAAGTTCTAGTATTTTATCTATCTCGTCTCTTTTTTTTTAGATTTTATATTCTCGGAAATAGAGCCAATTTTACTAATAATAGCCCTTCTAATATAGTAGGATCTCAAATAATCCAGAATACTAGATACCGAGATAATCTAATTACTATAATATATAATTCTCCTTATACTAGATAACTTCTTATCTCTTAATATATAGGTAACCTTATAGAGCTATTTTCTATTATTTCTATAATCTTAATATAGCTAATAAGTAATTCTAGTAAGAAAAGAAGAAAAAGTAAGGTATAATTAGTATTAGAGAAGTTTCTAATATACTAGATTATATATAAGTTCGAGTATATATTACTAGATATTTATTAGGAAAGTACTAAGATATAATTAAAGTATAGGAAAGCTAGTAAGTATATTTCTTCTTCTTTCTTATATTATATAACTACTAATATTTATAGCCGAGTATATTTACTACTTTTAAAACTATACTATTTTCTCTATTAAGGAGTTTTTATTAGAATATATTTGGCTAATATTTAAAGAATACCGGTTTTATAGTTATTTATAATATAATAATTATATTACTTTCTAATCTCAAAAGAAGTAGTTTGAGCTTTATTCTAGTAATAAAGAGAATCCTAAGTCCTATAATATTACTTTATTAATAATCCAATTAGTTAGGAAGTATATTTATAGCTTTAAATTATTACTTACTAATATCCGGGGATTTAAAGCAAGTATTACTATATGAATATCAAGTAATATATCCGACTATAATGCTTTTAGAGTATTTAATTATACTAAGTATAAAGAGCTAACTTGGCTTAGTTATATTCTTGATTCTAATAATTTCTTTTTTATAAACTCCAGAATATAATTAGTTACTTTGGGAAATGAAACTTCTAAAGTAACTTTTGGGGTAAATAGATTAGAATATAAAACTTCTAGTTCTTCTATTATTATTAATCCTCGGGCAGAGTTTGTAATAATTTTATAAACCTATCTCTTTTCTTATTCTTTTTTTCTAATATATATTTATCTGGGATCCCGATTTACTAGTAAACTCTAACCTAACTACGAATTAATCTGCCTCGGAAAAGCCTACTATAGGTTCGTCTAATTACCTAATTTCTATATCCTTATTAGAATCTAATATACCTATATTAGAAGAGCTATCTCTTAGATCTTCTAATTCCTTTCTAGAGTCTAATAACTATCCGCTGCCTTTAACCTAACTACCTATTTCTACTCTTACTACTAATACCAAATATCGGAAAATAACTATTTCCCGCTAGTACCTAGAGATAATTAAGCCTATTTCTCTTAAGTAATTCTATTATATAACTCATATAAAACATATTACTAAGCCTATTAACTATAAGAAATAATTAGATCTTTTACTATAATTAGATCCAAGCTATATTTAGTTAGAACTTATTTATTTACTTGGCTCTTAACTAGCTATTTCTGGAGTTTTAGTTTATCTTATAGAATTGAGACTAGATAATTAAATTCCATATATTTTTCTATATATAAAAACTATACTTTTAGGTATTTTTAAGTATATAAAATCCCCCTATTTACTATATAACTAGGCTTTATTTATTGAGTCTTTCTTCTATTAGCTAGTTTATAATTAACTAGCTTTATAATTCTTTTTCTCCTTACTATTTTATACTTCTCTTTTAGTAATTTCTTTATATACCTAAACTTATATTTATTTATATCTCTTATTTTATAATTAGCTCTCTTATCTTGCCTCTTATAGTTACTATATATACTACTATAATAATTCTCTAGTTTAATATAGCCTATAAAGATTCCTTACTTGTTTATATACTTTTTATATGAGTTAGTAGTCTATAAAACTTTACTAAACCTAATTAGGAAAGTCCTATAGCTAGGCTAGCTAAATAACTTACTAGTATTAAATTAGAATAGCTTTAAAAACTCGATAATTATATAGTACTTTACTAATTAGAAAAGTATCTATATAGTTTATATTATAGTTCCGAAATTTGGGAAGTTTTTTAGATACTTAATTAATACTAATAATCCTATTTTACTTTACTATTATCCTATAAGCCCAGAGCTAATTATATTAGCCCTATATATTATCTAGTAAGAGAAGTAGCTTACCCGGATAGTAGTAACTTGAAGTTCGCTCTTATTATTAACTAGGAAATTATCTTAATTTATATAAGTAGCTATAGTAATTATATTAAAGAAGGATATTAAGGTATTAAGGAAATAGAAGATAAAGGCAGCTAGTATAGGCCTTAAATCTGGATTATTTTTTAATAGATTATTTTTATTTAAAATATACCAAGAGCTTATATAGAGATTATATAATAATAGGAAAATAGTTATAAGAAAGAAAAGTCAGGTAATATAAAGGGGTCTTTAAATAATCGGAGCAAGAAAGTAGTTAATATAAAGTAAATATTATATAATTTATCCTATATTTCTATAACTTTTCTATTATTATAATTACTTACTTACTTATATATATATATCCCTCTTTTCCTCTTTTTTTATTTCTTTTCTTAATATATAAAATACCAAACTAGAAGCTCTATAATAGAAAGATTACTATTAACTACTTTTACTAGTATAAGTATAACTAAAACCTTTATTTTTTATATTAATTTTATATATACTTTTATATTATTAAGCGGAATTAGTAGTATTATATTTTTAATCTCTATAAAAAATCCCGATATAATAATAATAGGCTATATAATAGTAAATAAAATAGTTCTTTTATTCGGATATTTAGATAGAGAAATATATATATATTTCTATTTAAATAAGCTAAAAGATAAAATAATTTTTTACTATTATATATATTCTTACTATTAATATTATTTTAAAATTTAGCTCCTAAATTTATATTATTATAAAGTACTAAAGGTTAGTATTTTAGTATTAGAAAAACGAGGCTAGTTAATATAAATAAATTTAATTTCTAGACTATATATAATCTATATTATATACCGACTCTAATATTCTTATTATATAGCTAGTTAATAAATACTATAGAGATTTCAAGTTTCTGGTAATTAGTAGTATTTTTATATTAATTGGGGTAAGGTAGAATAAGGTGAGAAATACCAAAAATTACAGGAAAATTGTCTGAAAATTAGTAATTATAATATATAATAACTACTTCTTCCAAAAATGGATATTTCTCTCTTTTCCTCTTACTCTTTTATTTTCTTTATCTATATTCCGGTATATAAATAGAAAGCCTACGGGATAGAGTATAGTAAGGTAGAATATAATAGAATAAGGTAAGAAATACCCGAAAATCGCCTGAAAATTACCGAAAATTAGTATTCCCGATATATAGTAACTACTCTCTTAAATCTATATATATATCTTCTTCTCTTTATCTATATTCTAGTATAAGGATAGAAAATTTATAGAGAAGCTGGAAATAGTAAGGTTAATAGCAAGTAAAGAGTTAACTATTATCTTGATTTTCTATACTAATTTTATATATATATATTAGTACTATAAAGCTAGATTAGTAGTATTTTATTCTTAATATATTTTGACTAATTAGATTTAATAGTAAATACTTATTAATAGTAAATGAACTAATACTTCTATCTGAATATCTATAGCCTAGAAATACATATATTTCTAAGGCTTAAAGAGGTATATAAATGAGACGAATTATTTGCTATTACGTATATCTCTGTTATTAATTTAATATTAGATAAATCTGTCTGGTTTCCAGTACTGCAAGGCATTGGGGAGGGGGAGTGAGTCACGTGAATAATAGGCTTTATACCCCTACAATCCATTAACTTGAATTATTCTTAGAATTAATACTATCTGCTTTACCCAATTAGCCCAAAATGACTTAAATATATCCAATGAGGCTTGGATATTACGTATTAGTAATAGAATCATTAATTATTAAATTTTGATTTTCTAGTATTGAGTGTGATGTACGCAAATGCATTATGCAATGTCATTTCGGGGTTTTGGCAGGAGCATCGCTATCGGCCTCGGTACTCTCGTGCGCTACCGTACTCATCAGAGCCGGGAGTTTAAGTCGGAATGAGGCTCGGGTGCGACCGCGACGCGCGGTTCTCGAATTATGAAGGGGTTTCACAGCGTTAGCTTCCACGGACCATTTTTTCTTTCCCTTGACTTATTTTTCAGGCTCGGCGATTGAAGGCCGGGGTTGTCCTCAAACGCAGTATGATTTCGCAGTGGTTTGCGGAGAAGCTGACCACATCGGTCCCACTTTCGTACATGTACGTCATATCTGTACTCGTACGGCAAGGTCCGACAGCAATGTGTTTTTCCAGCCGAATTGGCATGCCTGTGCATACATTCGATTACTCGCTCAGCACCTGACTGAGGAGGTCCTTGTCTCTATGCACTATCTTCCGTTTGCCCCCGTGTCACATGGCAAATGTTGGAAGTGAGGTGTGATGAAAGTCTGAGTCAGGTTCGATTCCATTCTCACCTCTAGCGCCATCTAGGCTGAGAAAAGGAAGTAAAATGGGCGCACTTGGGTGGCACGTACTGGTTTTGTGCACCTTTGCCAGTTTACGGTAATGACAAGGCTTTGTCATGTTACGAAACCTTCAATATTGAATATCCCCTAGAAGTATCTTATAGCATCTTATATGAATGCCGAGCTGTCTGTTATGAGCATGCATCAGTTTTTTTGGGTTACTTCATTCAGCTTTCAATCCTTCCAAGCCTTCACCATATTGAAACCACATTCATGGCTAAGAACGGGGATTTCTCGGCAGAGGCTGATGCGGCGTTCTTTGCATCCTACGACGGACTCCCGGTGCATGAGAAAATGATCAAGGACGAGATACGGACAGAGTCCTATTTGAACGCGATGGAGGACAACCCACATTTATTCAAGGACAAAATTGTCCTTGACATCGGCACCGGGACTGGAATCTTGAGCATGTAAGTTTAAACAGATACTCAAACATCTCGGCGGACGATATGTCTGATAATTATGAACAGGTTCGCTGTCCGAGCGGGAGCGAAGCATGTCTATGCCATAGATGTCTCGAATATGATTGACAACGCACGCAAGATGGCGGAGGTGAATAATATGTCTCACAAGATTACCTTCATTAAGGCTAGAGTGGAAGAAGCCAAGCTTCCAATGGTCGACATCATCGTGTCGGAATGGATGGGCTTTTGCTTGCTCAGCGAGATCATGCTAGATTGTCTGCTTTACGCAAGAGACAAATTTCTTGTTCCAGGTGGGCTCGTGTTCCCTGACAAAACTTCGCTGCATATTGCAGGAATTGAGGATGGGGAGAGGATGAGTGGCAAGGTAGACTGTAAGCTATAGTCACTTTTTCTTCGGTGTTTGAGAATAGCAAAGTTCTGACTGTTGCTATTATGGCCTCTAGATTGGAACAACGTCTACGGTCTAGATTTCAGCCCCGTCAAACCAGCAGCGATCAGCAAAGGATTTCTCAGAACGCCAGACTCCAGTGCTGTGATCACAAAAGCCACCTGTGTCCTCGATCTTGATCTTCAGACAGTCCAAATCTCGGACTCCACTCTTAAATCCCTTCCTTTCCAACTCGCAGCAAATCGAGATGACACCGTGCATGCATTCCTTGCCTGGTTCGACTACGAGTTCACCGCTGGTCTTGAACCAGTGTGGGTCTCTACCGGGCCATTTTCGCCACCTACTCATTGGAAGCAGACCGTGTTCTATCTTGAGAAGCCGGTGAAAATGAGGAAGGGTGACGCTATCACGGGTGAGGTTTCATTTGAGCAGTACCAGAGAGATCTCAATGTGAGATTCTCCTACAAATATGAGTCGAGCTCAGCAAACGGTGTGAATGAAACCAACGGCTTCAATGGAATGAATGCTGTCAGTGGGTTTGGCCTTTATAAGGTGTACGTATCCACAACAACTGTTTTTATCATACCTGACTTCAGGAGACTTCACTAATATCATTTTTGCTAAAGGGACGCGGTAGAATAAATGCTTCGCACCAAATATTAGTGCTAACGCGCAAATTCAAGTTTGTCAAAGCCATGTCTTTAGAAAAGGGGTGCTATGTGCAAAGGAGGATTTATGGGACTAGTCTGCTGGGCCTTCTATTTATTTAATAGAAACCTCAAGTCCTTCAATACAGAAGTACACATGGCATACAACCTGCATTTGCACTGAAAAAGTACAGATATAGAGATTTTGGCTCATATTTGGGTTGGTACATGGAACGATCTTCCGTGAATAACATCAGCAGCCCCCCTTGTCGCGCACTTTTGACTACTTTTCCTTTCAATTACGGCCTCGCCAAAATATTTCCCAATTGATCAACCGCCCGGGAAATTACCAACCAGAAGTCGGAATTATAAGATCAGTGAATGTGTCCTAATTGTCAGCGGAGATGTGGGGATTGCGGAAAGACGAAAGGATCAGATGTGCCAGCGAGATTTAGCGATTATTGTCTAACCTTAACGATTGCTAATTAACGATTACTGTTTACCCTACCAAAAATTCGCCCGCAACCGAAATACCGCTTTTATAGTAATAAATATAGGGCGAATAAATGGTATAAGAACGATTTAGAAGTATTATATATGTTTTATATACTTAAAAACAATAATTTAATCGCGTATACAAGTGCAATAATAAATAGTAATAAAGGGACTTTGAATTAGGTAGCGTTGCGCACGCAAAATGAGGTATTTTGGTTGCGGGCGAATTTTCGGTGGGTTAAACAGTAATCGTTAATTAGCGATCGTCAAACAATAATCACTAAATCTCGCTGGCACATCTGATCCTTACGGCTTTCTGTAGGGGAGCTGCATGCGTCCGTCGGATATCGCGTTAACGCTGACGTGTAGGACCAGGTTGTAAGCTCGTTTTGGCGAAATCCACAATGTGGGTTTAGTGTCCGTACATGCACTCATACCTAACTCCGTAGCACGATTGAGGCACTACAATATTGTCAGCGTTCTACGGCGTAGATGTTGGCGACCGTCTGCCAGGAATAAGCTGCGGCCGAAAAGCATTAATGATCGGGGAATCCGACTGGTTATCTCGGCTGCACGTTGAGTTTTCGTCTCTCGATCCAACATCTGTTGGTTGAAACAACTCTAGCCACACTCCCATATTGTGATAAACGTTACGTTAAACTATTCCGCATCTGTTTGCAGGGAATTCTCAAACTCCAGATTCCTCACAAGTGTCGACATCAAAAGCTGATTCTTGCACCTCTCATTGATTCCTTCTTCGATATCCCCAGGAATTTGCCGACTCATTATCTCTGAACACAATTCATGCCGTAATGGCAGAAAAGACTGAGATATCTCTGACAACTTCAATCGAAGTTCTCCGTCTGAACCTCGAAAGTCATGGCTTGGAATTGACCGAAGATGGACATGTTCGTTGGGACAAGAAAAACCCAGCACACCCGAGAAACTGGACAGCTTGGAGAAAGGCGTACAATACAATCGTCATCCTCTTCTTGGAATTGATCACGTAAGCACACACCTTGTTATTGTTGATTGAGAGGTGTGGACTAACTTGGATCTAAATTCCTAGAACAATGAATGGAACCGCTGGGGTAATATCGTACGTTGACGACAGCTAGAAATCGACTAATAATCAAAAGACATCAGCGGCAGATCAAGCTCTACATCATTACAAAATAAGTCAAAGTTTGGCGGTATTCGCATTTACTTCCACGTAAGTAGGGAATTCAGAAGAGCTAAAACTACAGGTTTCACAGAACGCTAATCACTGCTCTCAAGATATGTCCTTGGCCAAGGAGTAGGGGGCATCTTCTTCCCACCCTTTTCAGAAGCCTTCGGCCGCAAAACTCTTTACATCACGTCGACACTATTATATTGCATCTTTTGTGTCATAGCTGCTTCAGTCCCATCAATCGCAGCAGTAGTTGTAGCCAGACTCATTACTGGTATTTTATCCGCAATTCCCACAATCGTTGTTGCGGGCAGTATCGAGGACGTATTCAACATGCAAGCTCGCGTGTGGATGATCTTTTGCTGGGCACTGGTTGGGAATCTTGGTCTTGTGCTAGGGCCCATCTTCAGCACGTATATTGCAAATGTCCTTGATTGGTATGTTACCCAGAAAGGTTTCTGGACTTAGTATTGAGATCGCTGACTGACATTTTATTTCCTGGCAATTGTTTAGGCAGTGGGTGTTTTACATTGCAGCTATCATCACAGGCATCATATTTCTCCTTTGCTTAGGATTGAAAGAGAGCCGTCCAAGTCTTTTGCTTGAGCGCCAAGTGGCTGCGTTCCGCAAGGCAGCTCCCACTGGGCTGTATCGAACTCGTAATCCGGACCGCATACCAGATCTCAAAGCGTTCCTTGACGTCACCATTATTCGTCCAATACGACTTCTATTCACAGAACCCATAATAATTATGGTGAGTTGGAATCTTGTCCCTGCCATATGAATTGTCAAGACTTGAGTGAGAAGTTAAGTTTGGTTATAGGTAACCATAATGGACTCTGTTGCGACCACCTTATTCTATTTGCAAGCAGAGTCCCTCATCGTTGTTTACACCTCACTAGGTCTCTCAGGAACTCAAGCATCATTATCCTTGATCCCGGTGGGCATTGGCTGTCTCTTAGGGTTTCTCCCTCGGTTTTATGACGACTGGAAACTTACAAAGCTCCGCCAACAAGGGAAACCACTGCAACCTGAAGACAAGCTTTTTGGCTTCGTCCTCGGATCACCCGTACTTGCGGTTGCTTTATGGTGGTTTGCGTGGACCATCCCACCTCAAGTCCATACGCATTGGGCGATTTCCATGCTGGCTTTAATACCAGCCGGATTTGCTTTGAACGATATCACCTTTACCCTGCAAGGTTATTTGGCCGACAGCTATACCATCTACGCCGCTTCAGCATTCGCTGGTGGATTGCTTGCAAGGTCCTTGATGATTGCAGCCATCCTGCCTTTCACTAGACTTATGTATACCAGAATTACTGCAAATGCTGCGACTTCTATTCTTGCGTCTGTTGGGACTTTGTTCTGCGTCTCGCCGTATATACTTCTTCGGCATGGGAAGGGGATCCGTAAGGCGAGTCCGTTTGCGCAGTTTAGCCTGGATACATACACAGAGAATCAGGTGGAAGATGATATGAATGCTGCTGGATTGGTACTGGAAACATAGTTCCTTGAAGGAGAAGGGCGCGAAGCTTCGAAGGCTATCTTGTCTTCTTGCCAACAATCTCAACGTCAGCGAGTGGTAGTGTTTGGATTGCTTATGGTGAAATAAACAGTAAGAAATCACATTCGGGGAAAACCCCCATCTTATCGCGGTTCCAGCCCCACAAGCTTGCTGCCCACCTTCAAACATGTGAATTCTTGTCTTCGGTTGAGCCTCCCCTCGTGCAAGCCGCTAAATGGCCCCCCAGCCCCATTCCAGCCACAAGTTTTTGCATATAGCTTCATTATATTTCCATAAAACCGCCCTCAAATAATTATATATTCTCCATAAGAAGGGTATACATTGTATATTCCTCTGGTAGTAAGGCGTGAGGCAATTGGGCCAAGGTTGCACCTTCCGATTTTGAACGTAGATCTAATGCTACAAAGGTATAGATTATAGCAAAGAGGATTGAAGTACAGTACCCTGGCGGGATGTGGAAACCAGGCTTGGCAGAAATACCTAATTTCCGGTATTAATACATATCGATGCCAGAATCGTAAGGTATTAATACTATCGATAAAGTATCGATTCACAGAACCCAATTCCCTCCTTTAATTGCAATTAACTTTGGAACCACTTCTCTTATAAGAAAATTTTTGGTAGCGCAAATATTCTACTTAATTTTAGGCTTTTTATTTAGCTACTTATCTTATGCTTTAAACTAAAACTCATCTCAATGCGGCTATTTTAAGCAAAAATAAGCTTTTGAGATTTTCGTAAGGCTCGCTTATAATAAGCTTCTCGATAAGAAATACGAATACAAGGGCTATTTTAAATTTAAGATATTATTAATTTTTATTAATAATAGTAAGTAATTCTTTGAATAGAAAGACTAGAAATTGAGGGAAGTTAAATAATAAAAGAAAGAGATAATTTAAGGGATAAGAATTAATTTGGTATCGATATATATCGATTCTTGCGATACCTGACTAATACCATCCAGTATCGATACCTTATCGATACCAAAAGTATTTTTGCCAAGCCTGGTGGAAACCTGTGCCTCATGACCCATCACGAATCTATTTCCTCATTTTGACTGCCGTCGACCAGCACTTTTCCGGCCAATAGCATCTAAAGTCCGGGGTTCTGCTTCCTCCTGCCCATCATTTCTCATTAGACTCTCCATCTCCTCCTCTTGGTCCTCTGAGATAATCACGTTCAACATGATGGCAAGGAACGCAGTGATAGCAAAGCCGGTCTCTATCACCAAGACGATTACGTCAAGGAAGCCAACCTTTGCACGATTGTCTCTTGTATAAATAAAGACATACGAAAACCACGATGGTACAAAGGTAGCCCCAAAACCCAGAGACATCGCAGCGGTCAAGACGAAACGGGTGCGACGTGTGAGCGACACGGCTGAGGTGGCCTGATGCCTGAAATGGCGACAGAAGAGAAGAGGAAGGTTGTCGTGCCTCCTAGAACTGACGCCGGGAAGGCGACGAGGGCGGCTGCAAACTTGGAGGAGATATCCATCACAGCCAAGAAGAAACAGACGGCATAGCCGGCTTTCCGGTTTGCACAGCGAGTCAATGCAACAACGCTAGTGTTCTGTGCGAATGTCGACCTAGGTGTAACAGTACACAAACAAGCTAGCATACCGTTTAGCCCACAGAGGTACAAGCGCGTGATTTGGAGTGCGGAGAGAAGCGCAGAAACTATGAGAGAGGTCGAGATAAGGTATTGAGATGTAGAAATGCTGAAGCCCGCTGCAGATTCGAGAATAATTGGGGGAGTTATGCCATTCATAGGTTAGGGACGAACACAAAAGCTTTATTCATGCTCAACTCACACTCCGGCCAACATTGCAAGAACATGTTGAAAAGAAAAGAATCCTATTAGCGTTTAATCAATTATACCTAGAAGACCATCCTTGGTCGTCAACGTCCTGATCGACTTGTTGACATTTTGGGCAAAAATTTGCTTAGGGGGAGAATCGGGAGCGATTTGGTCAGGACCCTATAGCGAAGTAATGAGCAATTATTGTGAAGGGCAATTGCAGCAAAGTTCACACCTACATCTATCGACAGCCATTTTCCTTCTGTTGTTCGCCTCAATAATGATTGAATCTAATTGAATGCGGCTAGTTCCATTGAATTAGATACCTTACAACTGCACGTCCAGGACCCGAAGAATAAAATGTGTTGATCTAGCTTAATAATAAAGCTAGTGTCACGTGCTTGCAATGTAAACCAAGTAAAACGTACTGAATTGACTGCTGTTCTATAGTAGTAAGTAGCCTGTATATATAGCCCTGAACCCCCTAAGTCACATATACTAAACCCCTAAACCAGAGAGCTTTATACTGAACCATTTAACCTTAGCTGAACCGATTTAGCCTTATAGGGCATATTATGCCCTGAATTAACCTTACAGGGCATAATCTACTTAGTAATAAGCCTATAGCTTAAGCCCCATTAGTATATAGCCCCTAAGGCTCCGTTCCAGGGCTTACTAAGCCTATTAGGGGCCTTAGCCCCTAATTTTAATAGTTCCCTTATATATTACTAAAAACAGCCCTAAGGAAATAATTCCAAAAATATTGCTTTATTTACTAAAGCTTCTAGAGCCTTAGTACCCAAAAATAAATAAAAAAACAGCTTATAATTCCATAATTATAGTATAAATAACTCTTCTATATAGTGCCTAAGGGCTACTAAAGATAGGGGCTTAGTAAGTATATTAGCTATTATTTCCTTAATAGAAATATATTTAATAGTAATCTTATTAAAGGCTATTAGCTCTCTAATATAATAGTAGCAAATATTAATATATTTGGTTTGGCTATAAGCTATAGGATTTCTAGCTAGTATTATATAACTCTAATTATTACTAAATATAGGAATTAAAAGAATAATATTTAAATATTAGATATATTTAAGCTCTTTAAATAAAACTCTAATCTACTATCCCTGTTTACTAGCCTTTAATAAGCTAATATATTTTAATTAAATAATAGAAATAGCTATATAGTATTATTTAATAGAGAATTAGGTAATAGGTTCCTTATTAAGCAAATATAAATACCTTATAATAAAGTATTTATTTATTATATTATTTATATAATTTATATTACTAAAGCTCTAAAGTTTAGGGCTTTTAGTCTTTCTAATACTATATAAGATATTATAGTTTATAATACTTTTCAGATAATAAAATACCTTTAATATAGTATTCTAGTACTATATAATAGATTTACTATAATACTAGCTAAGCTATCTAATTATATAAGTAATATTAGAGCGGGAGCCTTTTAAAATCCATATAATATAACCTATAGCCTTCTAGTATAGGCTCTAATTAGCTTATTTCTTTTCTAATTATACTATAATTAGGATATTTCGGTTATTTATAAGAAGATTTATAGACTTAGCTTTTCCTAGCCTAAACCTTTTTATAAGGCCTATAATATATTTATTCTAATTAAAATATAGAATATATTTAGAGTAATTTTTATATATTTAAATATCTAAAATTAGAACTATATTTCCCAAATCCTTAATTTCTTATAGGGAAGCTATTTTATTAATAATTTTTTAAGTAGCCTATAGATTATAATCTAGAACTAGTATATTATAATTTATAGTAATAAAGATATTTGGCTTATTAAAATAGGAACTAAAATTAAGGATTTTAAGTTCTATATAGGCTTTAATATATTATTTCCTTTCTAATTATTTAAGCTTATATAAGGAATTAAGTAAAAGAAGTATTAAGCCTTTAATATATTTTAGGACTTAAAAGATATATATTAGTATAGAGTTTAGAATATAAATAAGTATTAATTATATTAATTTAATATATTTCTAGGTTCTTATATACCTTTAAAGCTAGTAAAATCCTTAGGCTTTTAGCCCTAATAATAGAGCTAAAAGTTTTTAGGAAATTATTTCCTGAAATCTAGCTAAAGCCCTAGCTTACTAGCCGAGCTTTATATTAATTAATTAGGCCTATAAATATATATTTAAAGCTTGTAATTTAGTAAACTCTTTATTAATTACTTGCTTTTAATAGGCTCTATAAATGGAGTTATTTATAGCTTTAGTATAAGTTCTAGAAATTAAATACTCTATAATTATTATATTTATATAATATTCTATAATTAGTAGTTCTTTCTAATTAGGGGAATTAGAGTTCTCTGAATTAGTATTTCCTAAATCGGAATTCAAAATTCCTATATTTATTATTATAGTATTTTTATAGTTTTCTGAAATATTTTATTAGAAATTAGATAATAGAATAAAAAAGTTATATATATTTTTTAAAAGCCTTATAATTATAGAAGCTTTAGGCTATTTTCTAATAAATTCTATAAAATTAAACGGAATTCTTTTCTCCCTAAAAGCTTTTTATTTTAGTTCTATTTTAATTACTTGTTTTTATAAAAAACAGGTATTATAAATATTATAATTTTCTTTTATTTAGGCTTATATAACTTATATTACCTTAATATAAATATATAGCCTATAAAATAGGCTTTAATAATTATATTATTTATTTTTAAGCAAATTTTTTTTAGGAATATATTATATTTATATATTTTAAAATACCTAATATTAGAATATTTCCTATTATAAGCCTTTTTAGAAGTATTTCTATTAGGGTCTATTAATATTCGATTTTATAAATAATAGACTATAATTATAGCTTTTTCCTAAATTTATATAAAAAGCTTAATATTTAATAATATAGCCCTAGCTACTAATATTAAACTCTAGTTCAGGTATTTAAAAACCCTATTTTATTTAGAAATATAAATAATAATATACTTAAATTATATACTATAATTCTTTAATAATAAAACCTTTAAAAACTTATATTTCAAAGTATTATTATAATATATAGCCTTGATTTTATATTCTAATTCTAGCTTTATTAAAGCCTTAAATTATAAAAATATAATTCTTAGCTATTTTCTAGTTTTAGTAAAATATATTTATAATTTATAAGTATAATTATTTATAAATATAAATATATAAGTATTTTCTTTTAATATAAATATATTATAAAGGCCCTAAAAATTACTATAAATCTGTTCTAATAAAGCTATAGCCTTAATATAGGGCTTATAGGGCTTTTAAAAAGCTTTAATAAGCTTTTTAAATCCTATAGAAATAGTATATTTTAGCTTTAGATTTATAGAATTTAAATAATTAAATTAGTAATATTAGAGGTAATTAGCTTAGTTTTCTAATATAGTAATTACTTTTAGCCTAATATTAATACTTTATAGAATATTATTTAGGATATATACTTTTTCTAAATAATTAATAATTCTTATTATTATTTCCTGAAATTTAATTAAAAGCTTCTTTTTAATAAAACTAATAGTAATATATATAATAATATTTTTATTTTAAGCTATAATATCAAAATTAAGCTTTTAATAAACTTAGATATATAAAGTATTTTAATAATTTTTATAGTTTATATAGAGGCTTTTAGGGCTATTTATAAAAATATAATACCTTTTATAATAGCCGGAATCCGGGCTTTATTTATTATAATTACTAGTATAGAAATATCTAATATTTTATATTTAGTAAAAGCTTTTTATAAATAAGTTATATATTAGAAGCTTCTAGAATTAATTATTTATAGTAAGTCTTTATTATAAATAGGCTTTACTAGAGCTATTTAACTAGTTTTAATATTACTAGTATTTACTATAGGCTTTTTAGGCCCTAAAGAAAGTTCTTTATCTTTTTTAAAAATTACTAAAGACTTTATATTAGGGCTCTTTTTTTATTTTTCTTGCTTTTTTACTTTTTTGTTTTTATAATTAGATTTTTTATAGCCTTATTTATTATAATTAAAATACTTTTTCTAAAAGGCTTTTTTAGGGTCTTTTTTTTCTATTTTAGCTAATAAAATAGATTTTTTTAGGGTTTCTTTTAGTTTTATTCTCTGTTTATATTTACTAAAATAAGCTACTATTATATTATAATTAGTAGTAATTTTACTAATCTCTGGCTATAATATTAAAGAAATAAAGCATTTATCTAGTATTTTAATAGTTCTAAAAAGAATTAATATTTTAAGGGTTTTAGAAAGCTTTTCTATAGAATTAATAATTCCAATTTCGTATTATAAAGTACTTAATTCCGTAGTTATTATAGTAATAGTAATACCCCGTTCTAATAGCTTATAACTAATAAAAGCCTGAATTTTAATATTAAGCTATTATATATTTAGGGAAATATATAATACTTCTAGTATTTTCTATTATTTCCTAGTTATTTCAAGATATAATATATATTATAAGGCTTTCTAAATATATAAACTTATAATTATAGTATTTGCTTTAATATCTTTTACTTTTATATAATTACTAAAAGGCCCTAAGGCCTTAGAATTACTTTTATTTTTAGAACTAGAACCCTTAATAAAACCCGGTTCTATAATAATAATTTTAATTCCTAGACTAACTATATTTTATAGGCTTTAACTAATTAAAAGCCTATATATTAAAATATTTTAGGGTTCATAATTGGGTTTTATAAGCCTAATAATCCGGGGCTTTTCTATATTAAAATCGTTTTCTATAATATATTTCTAAAGAATATTTCTAGAAAATATTAGTAAGCTAATTTAGTAATTTATAATATATAGAAATAGTATTTAGTATTTATAATCTATTAATCTAGTTTAATAATAATACTAGAATTATATATTTATAATATAAATCAAGTAAAATATACTAAATTAATTACTATTTTATAATAGTAAATAGCCTATATATATAGCCCTGAATTCCCTAAATTATATCTATTAAATCTCTAAACTAGAAAGCCTTATATTAAATTATTTTAGCTTTATAGGATATAATTTACTTAATAATAAGCCTATAG